TTCCAGGAGAATCTGCTCCAAGATTTTGACATGGCCTCTTACTCCTCCTGTGGCATTGGCTACACTTGTTCTCCCACTACAACTTCACAGTTTGTAAACTAGAATTAATAGTGACCACTGCTGGGGTTGTTTGGAGACTTCCCTGTACTAAAAATGTTTTTCACTTCCCTGCTGCCCCAGTAGTGCTCAGTATTACTGTTATTACATGGTCCTTTCTTAGCTTGCTGTTCAGAAAAGCAGCTGCCTTCTGCGGGCTGGTGTAAGCTACTATTATGCTGGGTGGTATTATGTACGCTACTGTACTTCTGGCATCTGGGTCTATCATTTAGATTAATTTGGAAATTGTGTAGTGACCTGAGGAAAGCTGATGTTGAATTGGAATTTGTTAGCCCAGAAAATATAATTAGTCCAAAGAACCCTCTAATTGTGTAATAAATGGAATAATGCATGGTCTTGCATATAAACAGAGTACTGGAATACAACTTGTGGTGCATTTTCCTTTTTTTCCTTTTTTTCCAGTATGGGGTACTGCATCCTCTTTGTCCACGGTCTGAAAAAGCTGTATACATGGTTAAATAAGTGGAGAATTACTGTTTTGACCCTCTTTGCTTTACTGCTGCTGCTCTTCTCTTGGAAGACCGTGAAACAGAACGAAATCTGGCTGTCACGAGAATCTCTTTTCAGGTATGAGTGACCACGGGAGAGCAATTGCATTCTTCTATTGTTGAAAATGTTTGTTACATGGAATAGTCTTCTTTAGCATGAGTCCTGCTATTGATACATTGTTGTGATTAACTTTTTGATTATTGTAAAATAACACCTACTTTCTCTCTTCTGGCAACTGTGCAGAAACTGGTGTCAGCACTTTACATGCTTATGCACAAACTTTGGTTCTGGCAGTTGCATATTTAAGGCATGCTATTTTTACATAACTTCAGTTCTGTGGATTTACCAATAACGTAGCACTTTCCTTTTTAAAGACATGGCAAAAGTTTGTTGTGATCCTCCAGAATATCATAGTAATGCCATGGAAAATATTTAATTCTTCTTAGTGATGTTCTTAATGATAAAAAATGAAATGCCATGAAGTGCCCAACTTGATGTACCATATTTCATTTTATTTGATTACTCTTTGCCAAAGAGCTCTCTTTACAACTTCATTTCTACATTTTTTTGCAGTGAAACAGACTGTTTCATTTTGTGTTTTGCTAGCAAATACATTGCATTTGCCTCTGGCTGCTTTCAGCAGTTGTCTAATTGTGCAGTAATCGCGAAGTGCAGGTGATCTGCATATGGGTTGCTTAGCTTTACTCTCTAACTTACTGGCCAGAGCAAAGTTTAATTTACACAGCCCTAAAGAGTATGAAACTAGTTTTTATGTGTAGCCTTCGGTCTTCAGGAAACTCTAGTGAAGTGGCTGGAGCTCTGTTAGTGGGATTTAAAAGAAAATAAATCTGGAATAGAGGTTTCTTCACTCTGACATGATTCATTGCCTGTTTCCCTGAAAGGCTGTTTGCTGTTCAAACAACAGCAGCCATGGTGACTGGTCTGGGCTCACACAACAATCCCTGTGAAGCACACCTCCAGTCCAAACCCTTCTGGCTAACAGTGGCTGGTCGGAGGAAAAGCATCAGGCTTTCCAAGTTGGATGACTCTGCCATTGAAAGGGGGGTGGAAAGATGGTAATTCCATATGCTGAATTGCAGGCATCATCTGGTATCACATTGTGTACAGTTATGGTCACCTGTGTTCAGGAACAATGAAGTCAAACTGGAGCAGATGGCAGGAAGACATCTCCTCCTATAAGGACCACTCTTGGGATGATATGGGATGCCAGGGGGTCTGTCACAGAAGAGAAGAAAAAGGTCATATCTACCTAGTTGGACACAAGTGGACTTCTGTCCATCCTACCTCCGTTCAAAGCAGGGTGGCCATGTACGAGCCAGCTCATACTCAGAAACCATGGCACTGCTTCAATGCAGCACTGAGCTGGAGCTAATATACCTTGCCTCAAGGCAGGGATTTGGTGTTGCACAGGGTAGTATGTAGGGCTCAGTGGCTTGGGTCAAGCTGGCTCGCTCTTCAGCTCATGACTTTTAGGGACAGTTCCAGGAGAGGGATCTTCCCTGGGCTTTTCAGGAGAAGGCAAGAACATAAGTGTGCTCCTGCTGGGTCACCTCATGTCAAGGCCTTCCCCTGAGAGGAATCAGCAGCGGATGGCTAGAAAAGCAGTGTAAGAACAGTGTAAGCAACAGCGATGCTTCTTTCCAGTCCTTTCCCAGCTTGCAGTAATCTACAGTTTAAAGACTTCCTGAATCAGGAGTTACTTGCTATTTTTGCTTTTAACAACCACTGATGGACTTTTCTTCCATTAATGTGTCTGACTGTTCTTGCAAATCTATTTATAGTTTTGGCTTCTACAGCATCCTGTGCGCTGGGCCCTGTCGTTAAATTACACAGTGTGCACAACTAAGACTTCCCTTCTGTCAGCCTTCTGCCTGGTCGTCTTGTCTGGTGTCTCCTAGTTCTGGTGTGCTGAAAGAGTAGTGAGTAACCATCAGCTCAGCACTTGTCCCCCTTGGCCTTTATCTCCATCTCCCCCAAGGCTCTCTTTTTCATGCTGGAGTCTCCTGGTTTTGAACTCTCCTCATATGGAAGCTGTTCTGCATTTCTGTTCCTGCTTGTCAGTCTTTGCTGAATGCTTTCAAACTCTAATCCGTCCAGTTGAGAAGGAGACCAGAATCACCTTTCAAGAGATATGTACAGCACAGCAACGTAGGACTCTTTCTGGTTTTTGTTCCCTGATCTTCCAGATGCCTTTTGTCACCTCTTCTAAGCAGTGGGTGATACTTTCACAGCACTGTCCACAAAACTCCAAGGTACCAATTATGAGTGGAAGTGCCTGATATATAGACATGAATCTATGAGCAAATTTATGCAGTTTTAGAGTGTTTGTATATACACTCTGATACTTGTGCCTGTACCGGAATTGCATTTCATTTGCCATCTTCTTGCCCAGCCTTCAATACCATGAGATCCTTCTGTAACAATTTGTAGTTAGCTTTAATTGCTGCAGTGTTATTCACGCTGGTGTCACCAGCAAACGTGTCATCTCCACGTTTGCTCCCTTTTCAAGTCTTATGTGAACACATGAAGCAGCTCAGATGCCACTGCATGTCTCTTGGGAACCCTGCTTGCAGTCTTCTCCAATTGTAAAACATGTTCACATAGTTGTGCTCTCTGCTTGCTGTCTTCAACTAGGTGTTGATTCAGGAGAGGACCTTCCCTCTTACTCCATGATGCCTTTAAGAAATTTGAAGTGTTTTGTGAGGGATTTTAGCAAAAGCCTTTTTGAATATTTGAGTGCACAACGTTGATGTGTGTGATTCAGACTGACTGGGCTATTTTGGATTTTCAGAAAAGCTTTCCATAGTTTCAGTACCACGTAGCTGTTGAGTCTGTCAAAGAACAACAGATCTGCCCAACTAACTTCTTTCTGCAGAAAAAAAAGGTTAATTATTCTCTGTTGGATTGTAGTTATCCGGAACTTTGCTAGAACCAGTCTTTATTATGGATTTTCCCAAATTACCTGGAGTGGAAATCAAGACTTGCTGCTGTGTTGCCCCCAGATCCCTCCCCTGGAGCCAAATGAAGTCATGTTCATCACCTTCCATTTCTCTAGTGCCAGCCTCATATAAATGACAGGCTACATACTCCAGCTAATAGCAGCTTCACATTTGGTTTCCTCTGCGTGTGTACTACCAGGCCCAATGGATTTATAGCTGTTCTTGGTGTCGATTTGTTTTAAAGCCTCTTTTACTGCCACTTCAATTTGAGACAGGGCTTTGGACTTGCCCCTGTAGGTAAAAGCTCTCATGTGGCAACCTCTTCAGTACCACTGTAGTGAGCACTGGTGCAGAGAATCCATTTAGCTTTTCTCCTATGGCCTTTTCTTCTTCAAGCACTCCTTTTAGACCTCCATCATCTCTTTGCCTTAGGGGATCTTTGGCAGGTTTCCTATATTTGATGTATTCCATTATCAGCTTTGACGGCTTTAGCAAGATTTTCCTTAAATCTCTTTTGGTCTGCCTAATTATGGTTTATGTTTAACTTACTGAAGTTTATACTCTTTTCTTTTTTCCTTCTGTAGCTGTGATGCTCACTTTTTAAAGGATGTTTTTCATTTCTTGTAGCCGCCTTTACTATGCTGTTTAACCATATTGGTCTTTTTGTTGTCTTTTTAAGATCTTCTTTGTTAGGTGTTATATATCTCTCTTGAGTCTATAATACGGTAGGATACTTATTATTGATGGGAAGGAAATGCAAAAGAATAGTATAGCAAGAAGATAATGTCATCCAGGAGTGGGAGATCTCTTTGGGCAGAAGGAGGCAGCTATATATAGGCTGATGAGGAGAGGAGGGAGAAGTGGATGGAGACACGTGCAACAGCAATAAATTAGAAAGGACAGAGCAGGAGGAGGAGATAAGGAGCAGTAAAGAAGTATGAGGGAAAATAATAATGAAACAGAGCAAATCTATAGATGTGGGAAAGGAGACATAAATCAACCTACTTGGTAGTCTCTACATGTGTTGAATATTTTATTTTTAAGAAGTATGTGCTGAGAGATTCTTTATTCCCATTCCTAGTTCTTCATTCTTTTCCAGTTCCTGCTTTAATTAATTACTGTTTTTCTCCCCCTCTTATTTTTTTTTTCTACTTTCTATTCCTTCATTGCTTGGATATGTTTCTTTTGGTCAATCTGTTTTGATTCCCTTGGCCAAGAAAGACCTGTTCTCTTATACAAGTTTTCTCTATGCTGATCCAGGAGATGACTGTATACCTAACATGTTACCGGTTTTGTGCTTGTACCCCATTGTGTCTCATTCTCAAGGCTTACCCCACTTCAACATTGTGCAGCAGCACTGTTGCTACCTCTGGGCCATCCTGGCTCTCAGTCTCCAGCCCAAGGGCCAAATTTTCTGGATGCAGAAATCCTGTAGGCTCCTGGCTGAAAGGAGCAGTGTGGGAGGATGATGCTGTCTGAGGAAATGCTGCATCTCCACATAGGTGCACAAGCGTATGTGCAAGGACTAAAGGAGAAGCAAATGAAGCAAAAGTATAAGAATTGCTCATATATATATAAAGAGCTCAAATACACAGAGAGCATAGAAGTGCCCAACTATGTATTATTCCAATAGATCTCTGGAGGCCCCACGCAGCTTGTTTTCCTGTATTGGCAGGTGGGCAGCGATGGCTTATTTGTGCATTATTTAAGGAACTACCATATAGAGAGAATGTACAGGCCAGGAGGTCAGGCTCCACAGCCTCCAGCTGTGGTCAGTGTTAATTTCTGAAGCCAGGGAGAGGGAGGTGAGGGCTGTGGGCTAACCTCTGCATCCGCTGTACCAACTTTTTCAAGGCTTGCCAAGCTGCCATGTTTCCTGTTGCTCCTGGAAAGCATCTGCATGTACTGCCCATGTTTGTGACAGACAGTGCCTGGAAACACAGTTGTAACCAGCAAAGGAACTGCATGGAAGTGGCACTTTCTTAGTCAGCAGTTTTCCCTCCTAAGCCAGGTCTGCTGGCTTCAGTAATTCGCAAAAACCAACCCAGCTCCAAAGGTGGCATTTACTGCTGTGGTGTTTTGTTAATTCTGAAAGATGGCTCAGCTGAGGAGAGCAACTGCTATTGCATTTTGTGCATCTTTTATAGCACAGTTTAATGTGGCCCAACATTGATATCTGTGAAATCAATACAAGGGTAGGAGGCCAAGGAAAGCGGTTGGTTGTGTCATCCAGAGAATAATTGGCTGTAGAGAACCTTTATTGGTGATAATGATTCCCAGAGCAGAGGAGATCCCATCGTCTTTCCCAGGGCTCTGACTGAGGCAGGAGAGGCCTTGTTTCCCTGTAAGCAGAGCACCTTTTGTATGGAAATCACACAAAACAAGTGAAGCCTCTGCCCTGCACCCCAGTTGCTTTGCAGAGCAGAACATGCACTTAGAAAAACAGTGGAGAGGATCACAGGAGGCTTTTCCCAACTGAAGTGAGATTTGGGTGATGCTGGTATTTGAGGTTGGAAAATACCAGTGGTGTTTTATGTCTCTGATTTACAGCTAATAGGGTTTTGACTTTCCATGGAGGGAAAGTGCTACGTAAAAGGGTTTGCCTATTGTTTATTTTCCATTTATGTCACTTACTGCTGTTGTAGAAGCCAAAAGGGAAGGAAATCCTAGAGGAGTGACGTCTGATCTCAGTGGGCTTGTTTCTGGCTGGAGCCAGATTGGTGCCATAGGTTTTCAGAAGGGCACATGTGAGCTGGGCTGGGGAAGAGGGAAGTAGGAGAGTTTGGAAAAGCACATTGGAAAATTAAATTGAAATTGTAAGAGACTGGGTGCTTGCGGGAAGCAGAAATGGAAAAAACATTGTGTTCTGCTTTGTTATTTGTACTCCACCCTTTCCTGCTTGGCTTTCATTATGGACATTATTGTTTCCTCTGTCAACGAGCAAACAGTGTTCTTGGCTGGCCCAAGAATCGATTAACAGGAATGTTTGCCTAAACTCCCCTAAAAAAAACCCTCCATGTCCAGCGCTGTGTTTGCTACTACCTCCCACAGCACAGAGACTCCAAGCAGCCTCTGACATTGCTATGTGCTTTGCAAAATGAAGCTCCCCCCTCCCTGCCTATGCTAGGAGAATAAATAGGTCAGGGAGTGTGAGCAGCCTGACGCAGAAGAGAGCCCAAGTGAGAACCTGAACTGATTTCTGCCTGTCCTATGTCACCCCCACCTCCAGCAGAAGCACACTGGTGAAAGAAGCTTTATTAGTGACGATTTAATAAAAGGAACCAGCAGGATTAATAATAAATTCTATCTAAAGGGAGACAGTCCAGAGTTAAAATATTTAAACATACGCATCTTACTGTTAAAACCGTATCGCATTAGAACTGAAGTACTTGTGCATATGCACTGTCCTCCTCACTGTTTGCTCTGTTTCAGCAGAGGCTTGTAGCTGAGCCAGCAACTCATTGCATGTAGCTCTCAGCAGTTTTGAATGCCTGTCCGTGTCTCTGCGTGTAACACTGGCAGTGATGTAATGAAAACTCTCTGTATAAGAATTAATATTCCAGTAATGCCCAGAGGTTGTAAGTGTGTAGTTAATAGCTCCCAAGGCCAATGGAAATTAACACAGCCATAGCAGTCACACACTACTTGCTGCTGCTGCAGTATATCTTTGTGAAAACTAGTATAGAAAATCATTCTCTTAAGAATAGCATCAATTAACTGATTTAATTCAGTGATTAGTCACAAAATGTCTTATTCCTGTAGTGATCCCAGTAAGTAATTTGGAAATACCTAATGATTAGGAAGCCAAATACAAGGTGTATTTTTAATTTCAGTAGGCAAACCGTGGCTATGTTGTGCTAAACTCTGTAAGGCAGCCGTGGGTGAAGCTTGGGAAGCTCTCACAAGTAGGCATTAGCGACGCTTGATACCACTGGCTGCAGATAAGCAAAAAAGATATCCTATTTGCCACTAGGATTCTTAAGTGCTGTTTTACAGTGAAATCCCCAACAAAGGGTTTCTGCAGCCATGTGTGCATTCTCCCCCACTGGTGGGGACTGTGTGCGACCCTGCATCATTATGATTAACTTCCATACCCTCCAAAGTCAAACAGGAGAGACAGACAGGGCAAAGCAACAACACTTGAGAATATCCTAATCCTTTACTTTTTTCTGCCTGAGGTAGGAGGGTCAGAAAAGATGGGGGGAGAAAAAGCAACTGACAGAATCTGTTTCTGAGCAAGAAACAGCGCTTTGTCTGCTTTTACATGAACAGATTAGTCAATCCTTATTTCCCATTACCTCAGAGAGCCCCTATTTATGTGCTGGAAAGGATTCCCCCATTAAACAGAGTATGCACTTCTCTGGATTCTTGCAGGGGAAATGTTTCCATGCCGTATGTGCCTCTGATTATTTTCTCTCTTTAACCTTGAAACGGCATTTCCTCCAGCTGTGCAAGGTGCACCTTGCTTTCTGTGCTCTTAATTAAATAAATAAGCATATGCTTGCTCTTCTCCTTCTGTCTTTGCGCCCTCATTATTAATTCCAAATAGTTGAGTCCAATCTACATGTGGCAGGGGAGATGGAGGGGAGCGATGGTGTGGCTGAGCGGCCACATGTCCTCAGTCATGTGTCAGAATGCCGGAGTGTATGATTTGCCAGCTGAGGACAAGAGTCCCAGCTAAGGACAAAAGTGCCATTAGCCCTCACTTCCTGGCTATACTCCTCTCAGCGCTAAGCAGCACATACATGCTGGCTTAGTACTCAGAGTATGCTATGCATCCCCTCTAGTGGATGATGCACATGGAAAAGAGACCTTCTTTCTGGTACCTGCATCCAAATTTAAATCAAGATTTTTTGTAAGGTGCTCTATAACACTCAAGTTTAAGCAGGGCGTCTGTTATGGATATATTAGAGAAAGTGCTACTCTCTTTCCCCCTAAATATTGGCCTTTTTAGGATCTTTCAATTTAATAATTCAGATTTTTAAATATGACAGCACCTGGACACAGGGAGTGTTGCTGTGTTGTTGCTAGAGGTGCCTGCAGCGACAGCGGCCAGGACAGGTTGAATTCCTGCCACCTATTTATGTCCACTCGGAGTGCGTGGTGTACCAGTGCATGGGACAAACTCAGGGTAGTAACACAAGTGTGCAGGAGGTGACAAGGTGCTCAAAGTCCAAGCAAATGTTTCAGAGAAGGGGACCATGAGAAGAAGGTGGACCTTGGGGAAGGTGGGGTAACTGGACCGCTAACACTGTCCTGCTTCTGTTACTCTTGCAGCTCAGGAGTGAAGACCCTGCCCCACAACGCCAAGGTGCACTACAACTATGCCAATTTTCTCAAAGACCAGGGCCGTAACGTTGAGGCGATCTACCACTACAAAACTGCTCTCAAGTAAGTCCCTTGATGGCCCAATGGGGCTCTGGTTATGTGGTGCTGTTATCCCTGCCAGGCATGGGGCAAGCTGCCTGCTCCTCACCACTGGTTCCCAGGGGCAGCTCAGCTTTCGGGGGCTGGGAAAGTTCCCTGGCTCAGTGTTTGTGTGTTGTTAAATGAGGTAGCCTGGCTTCTCTCCAGCTCCACACATGTGTGTGTGCGCACACTTCAATATATGAGATAGAAATGTTACCATAGCTACATGTTGAGCAATGAGGTGTCATTTACACAGCTGAATGTATGCTGGTAAGCAGGAGGTAGTTGTCCTAAATGCATTTTCAGGTTCCTGGGCCATTTATCTTAGTAAATTGTTAATGGTGCATGCCTGGAAAATGCCAGTGCTGTAGCCATCTGAAGTGCAGTAATAATAATAGTACTTACTACTTGTATTGAGGCCTCTGTCCACAGAGCTTTGCATGAACACTAAACTAATTGATCCTGAAAATGTTCCTGTGCAGCAACAGCGTAAATATCTTGCTGAAGCAGGAGGGTGAATTGCCTTGCCCATAGATGCATGGTAAATCTGAGCCCTGGGTTGGTCTGTAATATAGGACATCTCCTGGGGTATAGATCTCTGACCCTCCCAACCATGTATGGATGGGGTCACTCCCTCTGAGCAGCATCGCTCCTGCTGGGGCTGTTAGTGCAGATCAGCTGGGGCCTTGGTGGCTCCCTGCTGCCTGGGCAGCACTCGGTGCAGCAAGCAGGTCACCCCAGTTCCCCAGACCTTTCCCCTGGGGTCCTGGGGGCCTGGGAGAGGGGACAAGTCCCTCAGGGGAATAAGCGCGGGGGGAAAGGCAAGGTGACGCGCTGGCAAGGGAAAGCAAACATGGAGGGTGCAGGTGATGTCCTTAGAATAAAAGCATATGTGGGAAGGACAGCCAAGGTGAGGAGTGGCTCAGCTGATGGACAGCAAGGACAGAGCTCAGCTCCATAGGGCATGTCAGGAGGTGCAAGTCATGTTCTTTCCTGACACATGGTGTGGCCGGAAAATCCAGAAATTACATCTATGTTTTGTCTTCTGGCCAGTTGACAGGGTTATAACAAAGGCTCTCCAAGGGCTCCTAACCCTCCCAGGCTAAGCTGGGAGGACAAGAGTTCATTGTCACTGAGGAGGGCCTGAACCTGGGTGAAAACTATTTTTAGCTTTTTTGAGCAGCATCCTGTTCTGTTTTACTGTGCTGGGCATTTAAGAAGTCATTTAGAGAAACCTCCATCCTATTTTTTTAATGTTTCCAGGAATGGAAAATCCAGCATAACCACCAATAAATTGTACTGAAGGTTAATTACCTTGGCTGTTGAAAATGTCCTCCTTGTTTTTCAGTCTGATTTGTTTAATGTCATCTTCCAGTCATTGGATTTGTTCAAATGCCACACTGAAGATCCCATTACTGTTTTCCATAGAGTGATCAACTCCTCCCTTTACCTGCTGCTTGATACAACCCACTGAGGTAGTTGCTGGTATTTTCAGTGTCGTGTGTTTTTGCAGTCCTCCAGTCGTTCTGTGGCTGGTCTCTGAACTTCCTCCAACTTACCAGAAAAACCCACTGCAAGTTAAAAAGAAAGGCTAACAAAAATTGTTAAGAAGTCCTGCAGTGAACATGCTAGCACAAAATAATGTAACAGCTTCTACCAAAATTGCCTCTGCTTGTGTAAATCAGATTTGCTAATGAAAGATTCTGCTCTTTAACTCAGCAGCACCCATTTATTATAATTATAACGCTGCCTTCTGCTCTGCAGTATTTCAATTATGAAAGAGTCTGCTTTGAGAACTGATTGCAAACATTTCTTCAGCTTTACTAGATAGTGTGGTTTGTGCTTGATGGTATTGTTTATAGAACATCCAAAGCCTTGTCGGGACTTGGAGCCACACAGAACCAACCGTGCTCTCTTCTCTAGGTGCTTGGTGTCTCAGTGACACCAGGGCTAGTGCTCCACTTACTTCAGTAATTTCAGGATAAGTTGGCACTTTTGAAAAGTGAGACCAACCTCATGTATTCGCTGTCTGACCCAGCAGAGCAGACCAGGAGTTGGGAGTCTCCTGCTGGCTCCACCATTGGGAAGCTGCATTACTTTGCCCCTGCCTCTGCAATTGTTTTCCGTATTTTTACCCCTTTTTCCCCACCCTGTCACAGGGAAATTATTTGTGTAATAAGCAATAAAAAAGTGCAAGTAGAAAGCGTTGTGTGTTCTCCAGTTGAGAATTACATTCCGTGTCTTTCCCTCAGACATACCCCTTCTGAAATGCCTGGGGTTGTGTGTAGGTCTTGCAGCCTCTGCTAGGTCCCTAGATGTGATGGCTGCATTGAAGCAGTAAGGAAGATGATGGTTGTGGGACAGGCAACATGGTGGTGGATATAGTGGAAGATCCTAGACAGGTGTCTTGGCTAAGAACAGATTTCATATCCAAGCTGTTTACCCAGCCTCAGAAACTTTAGCTGTGCAATCACAGCTCTGATCGTAGACCAGTTACTCTACAGTTAGAGAGAAGGAAGTATATCTAATATCCTGACCAGATTTTGATGGTTCAGGGTAATTTTGGTCACTGGCCTGACCTGAAAATGGAAGAACAGCTGGGAAGCTGGATTACTCTCTCACTCCATGAATTTCCTCATCAGGGAGCAGGCAGACCAGCCACTGAAGTGCTAACACAACAAGCTTCCCTGGTTTCCCCCAGGTATCTATCAGTGGGTGTCTGCTCTCTAGTTGAGATGGCATCCACCTGGATCCCAGATTACAGAAAACACAAGCTACTCAAGAGGCTTTGCTATCCTGCGGCAGCACTGTCAGAAGTAGGGAAGATCAAAATATTGTTATCTGCTTAGTGTGCGGTGAGAAGATCAATGAGGGAATTAATAAGGAAATGGAGTCAACAGGGACATGGACTGCCACCACCCAGGAGCTCCTGGAAGGTAGGAAAGAGAGAACACATGCCTCACACTGGCTCTGTCTGAGGCACATGTGCGACGGCTCATCCACCATTCTAGCTCACTTCTAAAGCTTGTGCCAAATTACAGTGTAAGGTCTGCTTGATCTCTGGTGAATGACTTTAACTGTTTGCTAAACAAAAGTGATCCTGTCAGTCTGCACTCAGCTGCTTCAACCGCTTGCAATTACCATTCCACCAACGTAACGATGCGCTTCCACGCGCTGCTGCTCTGCCAGAAGTGTCAGTTGCCATGTAGCTGCTCAGCAAAGCAACCCATTGCTCCTGTGAAGTAGGTAGGTGATGTTGTAGCTAGAGCTGTGGGAAAAGATGTTGAAGTGCATACAGGTTATGTAGTGAAATAATAACAATTGAGACTAAATCCTTGGAAAGTTGATCCCCGGTGCTTTAATTGCTTGCTCCCATTACTGCTTTCAAAATCAGGTGGGTCCTCTGCTGGCACATGGTGTACCTCTGTTAACTTTAGGGTGGGTAAGTGTTGGAGGAGAATGTGCTTTTTCTGACAGTGAAACTGCAGAACAAGTTTCCAAGACAAACTTGGCAACTGATTCCAACAACCAGTTGTTGATGCTATTGCAGGTGGCCTGTCAAAAAACTCATTCCCCAGCCCAGGGGCCAGTCGTACAACACCCTGACCTAGCCAGGCTTAGGTAATTAATGCAGTCTAATTATGCTGTCCAAGAGTGGGGGAAATGAAACTGAACTGAGATGCAAAAATGGAGAAAAACATTTGAATTGGAGATGTGGAGAATGAAAATTAAAAATTCTGTGTATGTAGGAAAGGCTCCTCCTGTATGCTGGGTTCCTAAAAGGGGAATGATGGAAGCAGAGCTCTTTGGAGATGTAAGATGAGTTATCTGTAAAGCAGACCTGATGAACAGCTGGCGTTCTGCAGCTGCAGCAGTGGGTTATAAACCTTTCAGCTTACCTTCAGTAAAACAAGAAAAACACACTGCTGGATTGGACTGCTTCACTGGTTTGCCTGACATATGGGAGTGACCCCAGGAGATACTTGGGGTGTTTTTCTTGCAAAAAGCAAAGGCCAGAAATACTCCATCTGAGATGTGAGGTGACCATGGCTGCTCTGAAAGCTGGCCTTAACGTCCTTGCTGCTGCTTCTGCTGCAGGTTTGTGGGTGCTGCGAGGAATTTCAGAGACCCCCTGCTCCCGCAAATCAAACAGTCCTGGTCTCGTCTGGATCAAAACTTGTCTTGCCACTCTTGTGTTCGTGAGTGTGAATGTGAGGTTGTGCAACCTCACGCAAATATGAAGAACAACTCTGATGTGCTAATGAAGACATTTTTGCTGTTGTTGATGGCTACCAGGCTTTTCTCCTGCTTCTCCAAAGCCTTGTTTGCTGGACATTGCTGTTGTTTTATTGCTCCTCAGGAATGCACGTGTGCTGACATGCAGAGAGAAAAACAGCAGAGCCTTAAAACCCATTTAATGAACATTTGTTGTGTCTTTAATAACCCTTTAAACAATGGGGGGAGGCAGAGAAATTCACCTTCCCTGCTACAATTGCACTTATTTAAAGTTTTAATTCCCAAAGCAGCTCTGTCTTACCATCTGTCTCCATGCTGGTTGCCACGGCCAGGCTTCCCATGGATGGCAGATCGATGTAAGGAGCAGCAGGTAGGGCTGAAGGAGGTTGCTGGGTTTCTTGCTGGAGATGAGTGAATAAATGTGCTAATAACAGTTCTGTGCTATTCAAGGTGCATTTCTGTGTCTGGTAAACATCTAAAAGCTCAACATCTAAAACTTTACATTTGCATTTTTGCATATGAAAACATATATATTTGTCTTTAATTAAAAAAGTCAATATTGTATTTAGGTTATTAGTGGGAGAGAAAGAGTTATCTGTGTGCAAAGGCTGATACTGTGACCATCAAATAATATAAATGGTGGAATCGTAACTGGATTTTTTCTTCGTAACATATTTTTGCTGGATGAAAGTCACAGAAATGGCATTAGGGGACTGAAAAAGGAAAAGTGATGGAAAGAAAGAAAT